AGTTTTCTATATCCTTATTGATTTTCTTTCTAACTGTTCTATCAATTATTGGAAGATGAGTGTTGAAATCTCTGACAACAAATATCGATTTGTCTATTTCTCCTTGTTTTCTATCAGTTTTTACTTCATATATTCTGAAGCTCAACCATATTAGGTACATAGAAACATTTAGGACTTTTATATCCTCCTGATGAATTGACCCCTTTATCACTACAAAATCACCCTCTTTATCTCTGGTAATATTCTTTGCTCTGAAATCCATTTTGTCTGATTAATATAGTTATTCCACTTTTCTTTTGACTATTAACGTGATATACCTTTTTCCATCTTTTAATTTTGAGCCTATTTATGTCTTTATATGTGGACAGCAAATAATTGAATCTTGCTTTCTTACTCTGCCTTTTGATTTGAGTGTTGAGACAATTTACATTTAATGCAATTATTAATAAGGTTGGGTTTAAATCTACCATCTTGATATATATTTTCCATTTGTCTCCTATGTTCTTTGTTCCATTTTTGCTTTTTTCCACCTTTTTATGAATTAACTGGGTATTTTTTATGCATCCATTTTATCTCCTTTGTTGGCTTATTGGTTGTAATTCTTTGTTTTGCTGTTTTATTGGTTGCTTTAGAATTTATAATATACACCTTTAACTTTTACAGTCTTCAGATGGTATTATACCACTTCCAGTACATGGTAAGAACCTTACAGTGGTAAGCCATTTCTCCCTCCCGGCATTTGTGATGTGGTTGTCATACATTTTACTTCTTTGATATGTTGTTACTATTTTTGCTTTAACCAGTCAATTATCTTTTAAAGAGATAAAAATCTCTTTATAGGAGAAAATGTATTTTAAATTTACTGACACAGTTACTGTTTCTGATGCCCTTTATTTTTTTATGTAGACACAATTTCCATCAGACATCATCTTTATGCTTGAAGTATTTCTCTTAATATTTCTTGTAGTACAGCTCTGCTGGTGGTTAATTCTTTCAGCTTTTGTATGTCTGAAAAAGTCTTTGTCTTCCTTTTTGAAAGGTATTTTCACTGGCTATAGAATTCTAGATTAGCAGTTATTATTTTCTTTGATTACTTTAGAGGTGTTACTCCACTGTCTTCTAGTTACATTATTTCAGGAAGAAATTGGCTGTCATTTTTAATCTTGGTTCATCTGTAAGTAATGTATCATTTTCCTCTGCCTGGTTTTAAGATTTCTCTTTATTGCTAGTTTTAAGCAACTTATTGTCTACCTTGGTATAGTTTTCTTCATATTTCTTGTGCTTTGGGATTTTTTGAGCTTCTTGGATCTGTGGATTTATGGTTTTTAGAAATGTTGGAAAATTTTCAGCCATTCTTCAGATGTTTTTTCTGTACCTCCCTCCTTCAAAAACTCCAATTTAAAAGTGGATTTTAAAGTGGATTTAAAAGTAGATTTAAAAGGTATATGAGACCACTTTGAAATTCACTCACAGTTCACTGATTTCTTTTCTCTTTTTTTCCCCCTAGTTTCTTTCTCCCTGTATTTCCTTTTGGATCATTTCTATTGTTGTCTTCAATTCACTGATTTTCCTTCTATGATGTCTACTCTGCTGTTAATCCCATCCAGTGTATTTTTCTTCTCTAGAAGTTTGATATGGGTCTTTTTTGTTTCTTCCATAATTCCACTTCACATACTCAATATTCCTTGCTTCTTGAATATATGGAATAAGTTATAAAACTTTCAGTATCTGTGTCTACCAATTTTTTATAACAGGTTAATTTTGATAGGATTCAAATGTCATAAAACTCACTCTTTTAAAGTGCACAATCCAGTGATTTTTAGTATATTCTCAGAGCAGCGCAACCATGACAACTGACTTGAGAATATTTTCATTACCTTAAAAAGAAACCCCATACCAATTAGTAGTCACTCCCCATTTCCCCTTTCACCTAGGCCCTGGAAACTACTAATCTACTTTCTGTCTTTATGGGTTTGCCTCTTACAGACATGTCACATTAAAGGCATTATATAGTATATGGCCTTTTGTGACTTGCTTCTTTCACTTAGCATCATGTTTTCAGGGCTCATTCATGTTGTAGCATTTATCAGTACTTCATTGTTACTCAATAATATTCCATTGCATGACTAGATCACATTTTGGTTTTCCATTCCTAAGTTGATGGACATTCAGATTGTTTCTACTTTTTGGCTATTATGAACAATGCTGCGATAAACATTCATGTACAAGTTTTGTGTGAACCTTTGTTTTCAATTCTCTTAGGTTTATATCTATAAGTGGAATTGCTGAGTATGTATGGTAACTCTATATTTAACATTTTGAGGAATTGCCAAACTATTTTCCAAAGTGCCTGTACCAATTTACAGTGCCACCAGCAATGTGTGAGGATTCCAATGTCTCTACATCCTTGTCAACACTGGCTTTTGTTGGTCTTTTTTTGTGTGTGTGTGTGTGAGGAAGATTAGCCCTGAGCTAACATCCATTGCCAATCCTCCTCTTTTTGCTGAGGAAGACTGGCCCTGAGCTAACATCTGTGCCCATCTTCCTCTACTTTATATGGGATGCCGCCACAGCATGGCTTGACAAGCAGTGTGTCGGTCCACGCCCGGGATCCGAACCTGCGAACCCCAGGCCACTGAAGTAGAGTATGCGAACCTAAGCACTATGCCACCAGGCCGGCCCCTGTCTTTTTTCTTATAGACATCCTAATAGGTGTGATGTGGTATCTCATTGTGGTTTTGATTGCATTTCTTTAATGACTAACGATGTTATGCATTTTGTGACGTGCTTATTGGTCCTTTGTATATCTTCTTTAGAGAAATGCCTGTTCAAATCCTTTGCCCATTTTTAATCAAGTCATCTTTTTATTGTTGATTTATAAGAATTCTTTGTATATTCTGGATTCTAGATCCTTATTAAATATATGATTTTTCTCTCACTCTGTAGTTGTCTTTTCACTTTCTTGATGGTGTCCTTTAAAGCACAAAAGGTGTTAATTTTTATGAAATCTAGTTTTTTTTTCCTTTCATCACTTGTGCTTTTGGTGTCATATCTAAGAAACTGTTGCCTAATCTAAGATCACAAAGATTTATTCATATGTTTGCTTCTAGGAGTTTTATAGATTTAGTTGTTACATTTAGAACTATGATCCATTTTGAATTAATTTTTGTATATGGTGTGAGGTGGTGGTCCAATTCATTCTTTTGCATGTATATATCCACTTTTCCCAGCACCATTTCTTGAATGTTTACCAATTTTATTATCTTTGTCATTTCTGGGTCAGTTTTGATTGATTCATTTTTTTCTTCATTTTAGTTTATGTTTTCCCACCTTGTATGCTTGATAACTTTTTATTGGATGCTTTACATTGTTAATTTTATCTTGTTGGATGCTGGATATTTCTGTGGTCACATAGATATTCTTGAGCTTTGTTATGGGACACAGTTATGTTACTCGGAAATAGTTGGATCCTTTCTGGCCTTGCTTTTAAGCTTTGTTAGTTGGTACCAGAACAGCATTTAGTTGAGGGCTAATTTTACCCCACCACCAAGTCAAAACCTCTCTAAGTTCTATAGTTGATACATTAATTATAAGATTTTCTGTGGGGGGTGGTGGAAACAGTAACTATTCCCAGTTTGGGGATTATTCCCTGTAATACTTTCAGATGGTTCTTTCTCCAGCTTCTGGTAGTGTCTCAAATGATAGTACCAATCAGTACTTAGCTGGAGCTCAAGAGGAACCCTCTGGAGATCTCTGGTGCTTCCTTCCCACCCTCCCTCTTGCTGCAGCTCTCTCCTCTACACTACTTTGCCCTACGAAAACCCACTGCATTGATCCCCGCAGAATACCAGCTTTGTGTTCTGGTTTTAAAATATGTTCAGAATTTGTTTTAATTAGATGTGGTAAAGTTACAGACATGGAGACAACTGCCCTTGGAATAAGGAATAACAGTTTTTTATTACTTACAATTCCAAAGAGGAGGCAGAGTGGGAGGAAGGCGTGGGGAAAGTGCAAGTGTGCTAAGGGCCTGCCTTGTTTGGATGGAGAGATTATAGACACTCTCAAATCCCAGGCCGCAATAGAAAAAAATACAAGTTTTACATTTTAGGTATGGCTAACTACTTGATGAATAAAAATGGGATTTATGCTTTGAGACTATTAGTGAAAAGAAATGTTTAAAAGGTAGAAGAGGAAAACTCATCATTCACACTAAAAGGGGTGGAAAAAAGAGTCAGAAATAACAAGAAAGCAAAACATACAAAACAAGATGACTAGAGTGAGGCCAAATATTTTTTATATCAATATGTGTGAATATGTTAAATCCCTTTATGTAAGATTTTCAAATTGGGTTTTTAAAGAAGTCCACTTAACGATTTCAAGAGATGTACTTAAAACAAAAGGACGAAAGATTGAAAATAAAGGAGAAAACAAATATACCAGGCAGATGATGGCAAAAAAGAAAGCTGAGTAACAAGAATAATACCAATCAAAATGGAACTCAAGCAGTCAGTATAAGGGACTAACCCTCATTAAATACTCTTAGAGACCCTTTAAACCTATTTTAAAATAAACATTCTTTTTAGTTGTGTCCTTTTTGAAAAATTGCCAGGATAGGTTCATGTTAGTAAGTACATGCAGTTTCCCTAGTATATATGATTAATCTGTGAAAATTTGTGCTTCTAATCCTTAAATCATAAAAACACGTTGATCAGGTCCAGTTACACACTTCATCTGCTGTAGTGTCTGACATTAGCCCTCATACTGCTACGTTGCTATTGAGAAAGCCCGGTGAGGGTGAGAGGAGCTTCTTCTGCAGGATGTACTCTTGTTTCCAGAGGCAACACCTGTTGCCTGACTCGCATGCCTCTCTTAGCCTCACTGATGTCACATCAGATAGCGCTTGCCGAAAGAAAAGCAGGGAACAGGGGAATTTACTACCATTAATTTGACATTTGTGTTTGTTCTGTATATTCTAAGTGTTTGACTTTTTTTTAATGTAGTTAATGTTGCCTACCTTGGGAGCCAAGAAATGATGGAGGTGGTGAAGAGAGACAACGAAACCATAAGGGAACATTTATCTAAGGTAATCACTGTAGTACTGCAAGTAAGTAGATGGGCAAAAATATTTACTGAGGCTGAAAGGCTAAAATTGGTTAGAATCTGTAAGACCTCAAGGATTTGTAGATTTCAGAAAAAGAGTTCTGCTTCTAGTTAAAATTAACGCAGTCCTTGAAAGTTGCATAGAAAGTAAGTAAAGCTGATTACATAGTTATTTAAATATAGTTTACCACCTGTTTTTGTTGGGTTTATTTTTAGAATCAATACTTCCCTCTAGGGTCTTGTACTGAGAAGACTTTCAATAATATTTATAGAATAAATGAGTTATATTAAAATGTTAGTAAAACATTGGAAAAGAACTAACATTACTAAGACCTAATCACTCAGTGAGCCTCTCTTATTCGCCGCTGCTTTAGAGTAAGAATGTCCAGCTCTGATGCCAAGACCAGTTTTCTATGCAAGCTGGTGCAGAAGGGGAAAGATTGAAATATTTAGCATTTATGAGTTATTACTGCAAATGCTAGACTCTTACACAAACACATTTGGAAGTACCGATCTCTAAAACTGTGAGGGGACCACAGTTTAGAATATGTCCAGGCACCCTAGAATTTAGGTGGCTCTGGTACTCCCATGGCATCATTTGTCTGTCTGTCCGTCCTGAATAAGATAGAGCTGCACTGTCCAGTATGATAGCCACTAGCCACGTGTGGTTATTTGTGGCCAGTCTGAATTGAGATGTGCTGTAAGTATAAAATACACATCGGATTTCAGAAACTTAGTACCAAAAAAAGTAAAATATTTCATTAATTTTTTGTGTGTGTGTGAGGAAGATCAGCTCTGAGCTAACATCCATGCCAATCCTCCTCTTTTTGCTGAGGAAGACTGGCCCTGGGCTAACATCTGTGCCCATCTTCCTCCACATTATATGGGATGCCACCACAGCATGGCCTAACAAGCAGTGCATCGGTGCACGCCCGGGATCGAAACTCGGGCCACCAGCAGCGGAGCGTGGACACTTAACCGCTATGCCACAGGGCCGGCCCCTCATTAATATTTTTATATTGACTAAATGTTGAAAATGTAGTTACTAGAAATTTTTGAATTACATATGTGCCTTTATATTTCTGTTGGACTGTGCAAATCTAGAGCTTTACAGTCAGTGCTGAACATGTGCCATCTGCTGGGTGCAATGAAAGGAGCCCTGCTGAGTGGCCAGCTCTTCCAGGGCCAGGAACCTGCAATCTGCAAGTAAAATCTTAGATACCCTACTGGGTTTACAATCTGTTCATAAACTTTGAAACATTGGACTGAAACTTGCCCTACCGTGTTAATTCATATTTCTGTAACCTCCCGATACAATTATCTTAAAGCAAGAAATGTATATGTTCTTAAAAAAATATTTCCAGAATATTGATCTGCAGTAGCTTCACTCAGAGAGGACTTTTGAAAATGCCAGTCTCTGTTTGTCTAATGGCCATAGTGGTCATTATATTTCTAAAATAGCAATTGGCTAGAGATTGAAATTTGGAAGCCAGAAGGAAACCCTCACTAGATGAATGGGGGAGGTTGGGGCCTCATAAGGATCCTCTCTCCAGGGCTTTCAACTGTTTCCAGTCATTGAAGGATGTGAAAATACAAGAAAAACCATATTTTATTTTTCATCTTAATGATAAGTGAATTTGTTTCAAAAATGTATTTAAGTTCTCAAGGCTGGAAGTTCATAAAAACAACTCAACCGCCAGTTAATGATAAGACTGGCAGATGCTTACTTCCAAAATTCACACCTGCTGAATGACTATATCCATCATGTGTCAAAGCCTGTCTTACCACCTGTGGAAGCCAGCTGCTATAAAATACTCATCATTTCTGGATTCTGTTTGTATGTTATGCTCAGAAAGAGGTCAAAGAAAGGTGCTAACTTATTCCTGTCCTAAGTTAAATCCATATGCAAGTGTAATCATTCCCAGATGCAGGTCTGCTCATGGTAACTGTGTCAGGACTATAAGTTTACTGAAACTTTTATGGGAGAAGTATGGGGGTATAATGGCAGATGGCAGACGTTTCAAGGTTAATATTAACACTCAGTCACAGGAATAGACTTTTCCAACTACAGGAAATGGTTTTGTTTTGTTTTTAAGATAGCATTAAGTGTACTTGTGGAATTTGGGAAAGCAAAGCATTGTTTAGTTTAATGATGCAAAACTACCTTGCAATTAATTGGTTATCCATTCTGCCAGCCAAGTTTGAGCTCTCCACTAGAATAATACAATGCCAATTCCTAAGTGAAATGAGATCTAGAGAGACAGGAAGTTTACTGCAACTTTTTGTTTCTGTAGTGAAAAAAGAGGAAATATGTTGTAATTTAATATTGGTAGAAGTCAAATCAACGTATGTCCCTGTCGGCTTGAGAAAATAAGGAAACTTGAAAGGACACACAGTTCCAGGCAGATAGTTGGCGTTGCCTTCTGCCTGCCAAACAACCCTGATAATTAGTCAAACTTGAAACGAATTCCCAAGACTAGACACATCCCTGTTTTAGGTGGTCTAGTCAAGGATACTCTGTCCCATTTCAGCCCAAACATAGGCGTTCAGAAACTTCATACCTATCCGGGACTGTCCAGTGTCAAGATTTTTTTTTTTTTTTAATTTTATTTATTTATTTATTTTTCCCCCCCAAAGCCCCAGCAGATTGTTGTATGTCATAGCTGCACATTTTGTTGCAAAAATCATTCAATATATTTCAGTTATTCAACTTTTAAAACAGTTCTGAAACATGTGTCTTTGTATCATCCAGTCAGGAAGCCACAGGAAAGTTAGTCTAAGAGTAGTCTCTCTACTACTTCATGTGGATGGCTTTCAGATTCTTTCTCCTCACCTCAAAAACTATCATACTATAATCGGCAGGCTTTGGTTCTAAATTCAGATTTTTTACTGCTGCGTTTCCGTTGTTCACATGAAAAGAACTTTTTATCTTCTTGAGGAAAATGGACCTTTTTAACTGAAAAATCTACTGGGCTGATTGTCTGTCTTCCTCCCTTCCCAGGTCTAGAGACTTTATACACAGTATTGGACAGTTGTGTTTATTTGCAGTACTTAAACACTGCTTGAAGTTGTTTCCCTTTCCTGGAGCAAATATATCATAGTTGTTTCCGGAAGAGTATACCATGCCTGTGGCATCTTAGGTTGTGTTCTTTCTTCACGTGACTAAATCCTACCTGTCCTTTAAGACTTGGCTCCAGTGTCATCTCCCACAGGGCTTCCCTAGCCCCTGGTTTTGATTAGATGTCCCTCTCCTTGGCTCCCATGGCTCCCTATGCAAAGTTATAATATTGCATTTATGACACAGTGTTTAAATGGTCAGCTTTCCCTCTCACCCACCTTGAGGTCAGAAACTGTGTTTTTCTCATCTTGATATCCCTAGGGCCTAGCACAATGCATGATACTTGGTGAGCAATCAATAAAGGTATAGTAGATGGATGGATGGAGAAGCCATTAGAGTATTGAATTGAAGCCTTTTTTGTGTATGAATCTCTTTGTCTCTCTCCTAAAGTGTATGGACCCTTTCTTAGTATACTGTTTTTAAGTGCGTAAAATAAATACACGAGATCGTTGCAAAAAAAAAAAAGATTATATTGAAGTAAACTCCTCAAAAGATCTTAAACACAAATTTGTGATATATATGAGTCTTTATTAACACATTAAATAATGAGATATAATAGCAGTGTGAATTGCTATTGTAATTTTGTAGTGATAAGCATAATTTTTTAGTTATCTGCAACAAGTTTAGTGTGATTTGAAAATATCTATAATTTTATAGCTGACAAAATATAGGCATTACTACTACTAATACTACTGCCTGTATTCATAATTGAAGGAAATACTAAATTATAGTTAGAGGTTAGCAAAAATAAAGATGTAATTCTCTTCCTATCCAAGTTTCTATTACCACCAGCCCCACCCCCATGCTACCGCTTCTACCCTTGAACCTGCCTAGACATGTAGGCCCCAAGTGAAAAAGCCTTGCTTTAGAGACACTAGAAAAGGTTAGGTGGCTTGGGCACTGGCCTGAGAACAAGAAGCCATGATATGTTGCGTTAAAGAGACTAGATTATTTTGAGTTGTTGGGGAGCCATTGAAGGGTTTAAGCAAAGGAGTTTAATAATCAAGGTGATATTCAAAATGTTTGACAACCATGTGCCGTAGCCACTGACCCATCAGAACATATGCTGTCTGTGAACAGCCAGTTCAGAGGTACCAGTTCGTATCAGTAAGCCCTAGTAATGTGGCTAGAGTAACAAATGAGAGAGATTATTTTGGGGGAAATATGTGGCAGAATATTGGAAAAGAGTGAAATTTGATGTGAGGAGACTGTTTAGAAGGCTTTTATAAGAACTAAGGCACTGGGGTTGGGGGTGGGGAAGGGGTAGAATTTGGAAAGGTTTAGGAAGTAGAATCAAAGGCACTTAGTATTAATAGGATATGAGAAAATGGAGATAGAGGAGCCTAGGCTTATTTCTCTGTATTTGGATTTGGTAAAAAGATAGGCAATATGGGAGGAGCAGCAGCAGCAAGTTATGGGAGATGGTTGAGAAAGAAGTTCCTTTTGATACTTTTGTTCGAGACACCTGTGGGACATCCGAGTGGACACATGTCTGGCAGGTAGCTCGATGTATGGGTATGAAGCTTTGAAGAGTAGTCTGGGCTGAATTTTGATTTGAGAGTGATGAGGATATAGTTGAAGCCATGAGCATAGAGAATAGTAACCTTAGGAAGTATGTAGTGTAAGGAGAGAAGACATCTGAAGATTGATCCTTGGGGAACATAACTTAAAAGTTGGGAGGAAGGAGAGCAGCTAATGAATAAGATGGGAGTGGAGGGGAGAAGGACGGGAATAAGAACCAGGATGGAATAAACCAAAGAGAATCTACTCTATGTTTTCGCCACCCCAGTCCCAATTCTGGGAGCCTCTGGGGTATGCTCTGCTTTATGAGGCACCTGGTGTGTCTGAGGCAAAGGGGAGGTCAG